CCCCAAAACCCCAAAACCCCAAAACCCCTTTGCTAAATATAAATATAGAATAAAGCTTGATGCAGATTGGCATTAGCGTGCAAGTCAGGAATAGGTATGGGTGCACTGGAGTTTTATAGGAAGGATGTAAGAGCAAGAGGCCAGAAGAGCAAGGATGTGGGTGGTAAGAGGGGTCTGGAGTGCAGAGATGGGGTTTTGGAGTGGGATTAGGGCTTTGGCGAGAAGGAGGGTGAGCGTAGTTGATTTAGAGGGTGAGAAGATTAGTGGGTTGATAACCCCGATTGTTCTTCCTCATAAGCCGCCTTTGAAGTCAATTTGAAGAATGCAGAATAATGGGAAATATTATAATAAGAGGTTTTGTAAGATTTAATCTCTTTAGCAAGAAATCTAAAACAACAAAAAATCTTAATTTAACTGAAAATGTCTCGCTTTGTTCTAAAAATGATTATTCAAGTTGTTCAAAATAAAGATGAAGACATTGCAGAAATGAATTACGGGAATGTCTTTCCCGAGTCTTCCTCCTCAGATTTCATTACTAATATTGTCAGTTCTCCAGAAAGGTAAAGATCACCTTCTAATTGTTTAGTCAATCTAACTTATCAAGACCAAAAATTGTGAAGCCTCTAGTAATTCAATTGATATATTTTTAGAAGATAAATATAAAACTCCCTAAAATTGACAGTAATCACTTGTTATCAAATCTAGGGAGACTAAACAATTCTTTGAGGTACACCCAGAACGAATATGAAGAAGCTAAAAAGTCTGAAGGAGACCTTGACTCACAATCTTCAGTAAGAGAAATAAGCATAATTTATAGCTCACAACTAGAAGAATAGTTGCTAACCCCCAAGGTAAGCCAACCAAATCAACCATACTGATAGGGACAGCAGAGATGCATGGGAAATCATTTGATATGACTAAATAAAATGATGAAAAAGTATTCAATGATCTTATCTTCCTCTCAAAATCAAACAACAAAGAGATCTGAAGCGAAAACTGAGTTACGGGATCCTAAATATTCTATCAGGCACCAACCTTCACAACCTCCTTTAGACCTTCTCTGGGGGGAAGCCAGGGGTAAATAAATCTCTCGGAATTAGAAATATTGAGATCTTCAGTAAGATTTGGCATATATTTTAGAAAATACTGACAATTCCTCCTCACCCTAAATCAATCAAAAAGGAATGAATTTTTCGTAAAAGTAAGAAACTGAAATGAACAAATTCCTCTAAATCCCATGAAAGGAGGGGGAAGAATTTCAATATTTTGAGGGATGTTAGACTTAAAGGCTCTATTGACCATATCAATTATTTCTTAAACCGGAACAGTAAGTGTTTCATCTGATTTCAGAATCAATGAATCTTCCCAGGAAGTCTGTTAATATCTCTGTCAAAAATATTATAGAGAGAGATTATATCAAAAATTCTCAAATAGGTAATACACTTTAATTTTGACTAATTTAGAACTTCATAAGGGTAGCAATAGCTGATTTCCACCAATGAGAAGCTTGGATCATTCTCAGCATTACCAGTCAGGCTTAGGGTACATGCACCCACCATTTCCACTTGAGAATAAATAAGATTATCATGAAAAATGCACATGATCAGTTTCGGAGTTTTGTTGATTTGAGCCAAAGTCTTAGCTTTGACCAAATCCAGAATGATCAATTAAGAAAGAGAAAGACTTTGAAAGGTAAACTTGCAGTCTCCATAACAGGTGTTTCCTTCTACCAAGATAACTCTAAGCGAATGATTAATATCTATAGAGAAAACTTCATTCCAAAATTCCCATAAGGAGGCAAATAAATTTGAAGTGAACTTTAAGATGCCAAAGCAGAGTAATTTCTTACTAACTATTTCAGTCCTTCGCAGCAACTTAGAAGTACTTAAAGTGATTAAAGATAAGATGGAGCATGGCTAGTACTTAAGTTCAGTAATCTAACAGACAGATATCATTCATTAAAATATGGATTAATTCAACTAGAATTCTCAAAGAAGGGGTTTTGGGGTTTTGGGGTTTTGGGGTTTTGGGG